GCAGCCCGTGTAGCCGAAGAGGCGGCCGCAGCTAAGAGCTCCAAGAAGAAGAGCGCCAAATCTTCCAAGACTGACGCGAAAGCGAGCAAAGGAAAAGAGGCGGACGAGCTCCTGGATTTTCTTGAGCCGCCCACACCTGCTTCGAAGACGGCAAAAGGGTCGAAACTGACCAAGACGCCGTCGCACAAGCAGGAGCCCGTCGAGGACAAGGTCGAAGACGACTACTTTGGATCCTGGGGTAACGCGTCGACGGGCAAGAAGACAGCTGGCAAGAAGGACTCAGCCTCGAAAAAGGAAATTGGCAAACATGAGTGGGCCAATGAGGACGATGCACTAGCTGACCCCGAGAGAGACCTGGACTCCGGGTTCGACTTCGAGAAGCCGACCTCTTCTTCATCCAAGACCACGAAGGCGATGACAGCTGCTGCGACTTCCTCAAAATCCAAAGTCTCCTCCTCAGTCGCCGACCGCATCAAAGCATTAGAAGGCAAGAAAGAAGAGAGCGGAAAGAAGTCGAAGACGGCCGACGCTGGGCTGACTAAGGATTTGCCTCCACTAGACGACGCCCCATCGCCCAAAGAGGAAAAGAAGCCAATCTCCAAGGCAGCAGGCGTCAAGGCAAAGCCAGCTTCTAGCAAGACCACCAAGGCCTCTGCCAAAGACGCGTCTCCCGTCGCCGAAGAAAAGAAGTCAAAAGACTCTGTTCCTGGTAGTTTCCCTGGCGCCCTCGACGACGACCTGTACGACCTCGACTACAATCCGCCACTAGAAGCCTCGTCGCCAGAGAAGCCCAAGGCGAAAGCCAAGACCAGCGAGAAGAAAGCTTCCAAATCCAAGGCCGCCACCCCCAAGGAATCCGCTGTCGACAATCTCGATCTTGTCGAAGAAGCCCCTAAGGTACCGACACCTCCGCCAGACGACAAGAAAGCGGGAAAGAAGGAACGGGCCAGAGTCGAACGTTCCGCGACTGCCTCTTGGGGATTCTGGGGTGCAGCACCTCCGCCAAAGAAATCGGCCAAAGATAAGTCTAGGGACGACGAGGAGATGCCGCCGCCACCACCGAAGAAAGAGAAGTCGCCAACTGGTCTTGCACGGTCGAAGTCCACCCGAACTCCCAAGGAGAAGGAGCAAGAGGACAGAAAGGAAGCCGAAAAGCTGTCCAAGTCGTCTGGCTCCGACAAGGATTCGAAAGCCAAGCAAACCGAAAGACCCAAGGCAACACGCGGTCCTTCTTTCTCCAACTTCATGTTTGGCGGACCGCCGCCCTCTGCCATGGCGCGTTCAAAGACAAGCGCATCTCGAAAGCCCAGCACCACAGCGAGCTCCAGACCATCTTCGAGGCGACAGTCGTTGGACGGCTTTGCGTCTCCTCCTCCTGGAGATGAGCCCCCAATAACAGACAAGGCAGCCAAGCTCATGGGCATGAAGTCTAGCAGGACCGAGCGTCGTCCGTCAGTGAAGAAGAACCGTTCTGGTAAGTCTGAAGCATTCTCGCGGCGCGATGTGCCCATCACTGACCGTCGCCACCAGCTGTTCCCGACCCTTACCCCATTGACGATGATGACATGGTGATGATTCACACCAATGACAATCCGCCACTCGTTGATGCCGCAAAGTCAAAGTCCAAAGCTGCCAAAGCAAAGAAAGAGGTAGGTCCCCCATCCTCCTCACCGCTTCGTGGCACGCTTATGCGCCCTTCCTGGTCTCTTGAATTCTCCAAAGAGGTCCATGCTGACGGAAGGGTTTCCTATTCACAGGTGAAGTCACACAGCAAGAATTTCTCTCACGATGATGATATGGTCATGGTCGAGAGCCCGACACAGGCTGATCCGTTAGTCACGAGCGGGCCTGACGACATGGCCTTTGTGGATCACCCGCCTACTCTGAAGCGGAGCAACACTGCCACCAAGAGATCGACCGGGTTCTTTGGTGGACTCTTCGGGGGGGCGAAACCTGCAGCCGAACGGTCGAGGAGCCACACCCTCACCGACGCCGAAGATCTGCCCATCCGCACCAAGAGCAAGTCCACCAGAAGATCTCGAGCCGTGGAAGGCGAGGAACTCACTACCGATGCTCCTGCGGAAACGGATGCCGACATCGAAGCCCGACGTGCTGAGCGGAGAGCGAGACGCGACGCTCGTGATCAGGCGGAGGAAGCAGACCGAGTCGAACGGGATCTCAGGCGCAAAGAAAGACGAGAACGCGAGAAGGCTGATATCGAGGCTCGTCAGCGAAAAGCACGCGAGCGAGAGAAACAGGAGCAGCTGGAAGAGGAACGGCGACGGGAAGAAAAGAGAGCTAGACGCGCTGCGAGAGAGGCGCGGATTGCACAAGAAGAGGCAGACGCTCAAGCAGAGGCGGATCGCAGGCGGGAGGAACGCAGACGATTGCGTGTCCAACTTGAGGCTGAACAAGGTGTCCCGCACGAGGTTGCAAAAGAAGATCGTCGCCGGATGTACTATGCGGAGGAAGACGAACGGAGAAAACGAAAGGAGAGCCGGAAAGCCAAGGACGACCCATACAGCAGATCAAGCCGCAAGAAGTCGAGCGTGCTCGTCGAAGAGTACCACGAATCGCGGAGCGGCAGCGGCCGTGGAATCGCGCCACCCGCTAACAAAACCAGCTCATGGGTCAACTCTCAGGCGGACGAGCCACCGGAAATCCCGCCTGTCGAAGGCACGGTGCTGGACCCGAGCGGAGAAAAGCCACGAGCCGCGGTAGATGACGACGAGCACAAACGCAGTAGTCGTCACCGCGACAAGTACCCCGGCATGACCGAAGCCGAGATTGAAGAATATCGTGCTCGAAAAAAGAGCTTACGTCGCGGTGAAGGCAAGTCGGCCAGTGGCGGCAGCGACGAGCGCGATCGACGCGAGAGAAGACGACGAAAAGAGCGCGACGTGGCCGACGATCGGGGCTACGGATACGACGAGGCACCCGTCAAGACCTGGGATGGTCGCCCTGCATTGGGCGGCCGAAACGACAGCAAGAGGAGGAGTTTCCTCGGCGGTCTTTTCTGAGCCTGACGGCCGAGAATTCACATGACATTTCGGGATGATGTCTGCTGGCCCACACATCTTCCAAGCGAGCATTTTTTTTAACCGGTTCATTTTGACAGCATTTACACAGCAAGCGAGCGAGCATTACATTGGGGTTGGGCTCTCCAACGATCAGCATCACCACTCGCTTCGAAACCATTGTCTTCCTAGTTCACCACTTTCAGGGACGACGGGAAGTCAACCAAACTATTATTTTTCCGGGCATGGCCGAGCTGAGCTGAAGACGGCACTATTTGTTTCACCCTGTACGACTACAGATATTCGATCAGGCAAATCGTGTACTTGAAGCGAGGAGGCTACGCAGCTGGGGTTCTTTGTTGATCAGCGAGCGAGATGAGCAGCAATTTTCGGACCCTTGTTTCTTCTTGAATATAGATACCCCATTTAGTTGTTCACTTGGCTCTATTCGCCTTGGGATTAGTTACATGTCGCGACACCTGTGCCTTCAGTTGTCACATGTGATTGTAAGACTCGCAACGTCGTGGCCCGTCAAATCACGAACGTGCAATGCTGTACAGTGTAGTTGGGACGTGCCGATGCATTCGAGCGGCATGTAACCGACTGAGGTGCCCAGCGAGGACAGCCATGCAAGCCTGCCGCGCAGGATCTTGTACTCATTGACGCTCATGCCACCGCAGCCCGGGTTAGAGTATGTACCTAGGCACGAGACGGTTCTGGTCTGATTTGGTGTGATCTGGTCTAATCGGATCTAAGCTAAGCGGTCGATGCATGCACCAGTCCGAGTCCGAACCCAGCGTCGAAGGGGGTGATGAGACGGCCTTGACGAAGTGAAGTGAAGACCTCGCTTATCCCATGGACGCGGTACGAATACCTGTACCAGTAACGGTATTTCCGCGTCCACGCCCCTTCCACCCCCTCGGGATGGACACGAACATGTACATGTCGATCAACATGAATGGAATGGCCAGAAGGAGGGTGATCCAGAGATAGATGCTGTCGAGGAGGGTCCATGTGTGGTGGGGGAGCTGGAGGTGATGATGCTTGTGGTCGGGGTTCGATGGCATTGGCGGGCGAAGTATGTAATCGCGAACCACGACAGTTACAGTGATAGTTACAGTAACAGTAACAGTCGAGTACCTCATGGAAGGTCGGTCTTGTGAGTGTTTTGCCTGTAAAGGATATGTATCGTATTGAGTGTTGACAAACGACTGACCGACGAGTATGCGTGGGCGGGACCAAGACTGTCTGGGTTGACTGATTGACTGAGTCCCCGCGCAGCCCTTGGGCGTCTTGGGCTCACGTGCGCGAGGAAAGTCTGGAACTGAGCATGCCGTGACTGATCAATGAAGTCGATTTCATCAGATATGTGTGATGGCAAAAGCAGCCGGGGTGATGAGTGTACGAGTACTGATATATAATAGTACGTCCTAGGTAGGATGGAGTACTCCGTACAGGCACATAAATAGGGTCCAACTATGTATTTGTCGTAGTGCCTTCCAAGGTTAATTAGTGGAACTTGTACATACTCCGTACGAAATGCACTACCTCGTACTGTGTAGGCTGTACTCCGTATTCCGTACTCCGTACTCCTCCGTGCTTCATACTCACTGGACTGAAGCTTAGTTCTCCCCCATCACCCACCCGTAGTCGACTCCGTACCGCAATTCAATACGAACTGTAACATCTTGCTGAGCTCTATCAGAGCCCAATCGTGCCCTGCCGTCACACTCATCTCCGGATCACTTCTACTCTACAAAGTCCAGGAGCAGGAAATCGCCCCGTCCGCAACATCCCACACCCATCAATTCCAAGTCCTGCGGCCTTTCTCATATCGGGATTCCGCCCAAGCACAACCATAACAACACAACGACAAGACGCGGATCACACAGCCTCGCCACTCCATCAGTCTAAATACTATATCTGTCTACTGTATCAACTCAACCCAACCCAGGCCGTCAGACCACCATCACGCGACGACCGATGCCTTCCAAGCGAAAGAAACAAAAGACTGCAAGTACTACTTCACGCCCGCTGACCCAGGCCGAAATCTGGGACGACTCGGCGCTCATCCGCTCCTGGAACGACGCCCTCGCCGAGTACGAGTACTACCACGGCATTCACGCACGCGGGGAAGACGTGGAGGAGATCCTCCGGAAAGCCGAAGCGGGTGAACTTGACGATGATGGTGAGGACCAGCCGACAACGACAGCGACGAGCGCTGCATGGAAGCCCAGTCAATTTGAAGGTGGCGCTTCCGCGACTGTGGACGCCATTGGAGTCAATGGTCACGTTGAGGGCAATGAGGCCGACGCCGTGACCCGAGCTGAGGATGGAGAGGACGCTGAAGAAGGCGAGGTGGTAGAGCAGGATGAGGATGGCGCCGATGTCGATGCCGCACACGCACGTCCAGTGCCCTCCGCCGCACACCTCGACGACAGTCCTACTGTCAGTGCCACTGGTACTGCCCCGTTGATAGGTCCAGGCTTACCACCTGGTAATGCGGATCCGGGTCTGAATCTGGATCCAGCGCCTGTTGACAATGCACCGAAGGAAAAAGGTAAGCCAGGAATTCCACGTCCCTGTGATCCAAGGAGAACTCGGTTCCTCCTTCTGATTTGTGTCGTGCTACGTGCTGACTGGGTTGAAGGTCCACCTCGTTCGACGTCCCAGGACCAAACGCTCGAGAACATGAAAATGGCGTATTACTGGGCCGGGTACTATTCAGGGCTGTACGACGGGCAGCGTCAGGCTCAAAGTCAGACCCAATGACATACCCGGTGCGTGCGTGAGGTGGATGCTAGCTCGATTTGCAACGGTGGTGCCGACAGAAAGAGGAACGTGGCCACACCGGACAACCAAACGAATAACAACCGACATACGACAGTACCCTTGTCCCAGCGGAATGCGGAATCCGCGCCACCAAGCCCATGTCACTATGGACGGCCCTCTTGCAGGCGAAGCACCCTCATGTGAAGCCTCGCGCTCGTCCCATCTGCACATCCACGCACGCGTCCACTCCGTCGCAAGACCCCGGATCTGTTGTGCTTGCCTTATTCCAGCTCCCTAATTGACCCCTGAGCGTTGCCCCAACGCACAACACCATACCAACAAGTTCGGGAAGCACGACACGACGGCCCCCCTCTACAAGTCCACTCAATTCGGTCCTGGAGAAGGCGAAAGATCCAGCCCATCAAGACGAAGAACAAGTCTCCTTGGACCGAATATCCCTCCCTAGCCTCTAGAGAAAGGGCGGCTCCCCAACAATCAAGTCTGGCACTCGGTACGGACACCGTGGTTCTCCTCACCCCAACACTCGATACACCGCGGATGCACGTCGCTCTATCCATGCGTCGATCCATCGAAAACCATGCTTCTCCGGTCCCACGTCCCCCCACCCGGAATGTACGGCCTGGGTACGGCCGTGTAGCTATGTACTATGAATCCCCCAGGAACGAAGCAGACGGCCTAAGTTACAGCTGTGTAGCTACTACAAATGCCACAGGACCTAGGTATATGCGAAGTTTCGATCCCCTGCATATGTAAACAAGTGGGAGGGTCGTGGCGGGATCAATCGCTTCTGGCTGCGGACCATGATGGGAAGCATACGCAGAAACAGGACAGGGCAGGACAGAACAGAAATACAACAGCACATACTGTAGGATAGACGATGCACCCACGATGGGTAGGCAGTGGGTCATGGGTCACCTCTGTCAGCAGGGTGGAAATTTCATCATAGACTAAGGTCTGATGCCGGAGAGAAGAGCGTGCCAGGTGGGCTGAAAATGGGTCGTTGCTCTTGTCCACCCTTGGTCATTCATGGTGATGATGTATCCCTCGAATCTGACAGCAGTGCGGCACAAATCCCTCGGCGGGTGTTCTTTGACAATGTCCGCTTTAAAAAAGCAGTACGAAACACTGTAATGAGGCGATGCTTGAGATGCGAGCGATGGATGGGTGGGCACTGTACGTTGTGTTGACATATCATGCATCCCATAGCATCCCATAGCACGCTGCTTCACGCCGAGGCTCTAATTGCGATGTTGCCATGAAAGATGTAGTCTTTCTCGCTTCACCTGTGGCTTCTGTCCCTTCGTGTCCTTGGCCTCCCAGCCTCCCCCCTTCTGCGTCCCAAAGCTCTACCTCAACCTCTACCTACGCTGAAACTCAATCAACATCAATGTCGTAACACACGTAGGCCGAGTACTCCCCCTGGTCACCCCCACCGGCAGCGATATCTTGCTGGCCCATGCCCTCGTCCTTCATCACCCTGCCCTTCTTGTCCCGCCCGAACGCATTGCCGGCCAGGTACGAGTACTCGTTGTCGAGGCCCTTGCGGACGTTCTTTTCGCGCTTGCCGTCCGTCTGTTGTGTTGCAGCGGTTAGTGTGTTGGATAGCGGTGGTCTGGTTGCGTGGACATCCTCACCTTGATCAAAACCGCGACAAAGTCCAACGGCAAGCCGTAGCGCAGGACGGTCTCGACAAAGACCCTCAGTACCACAACATGCACCAAACACATGACGGCCTCGGACCAGCCCGTGCGGCCCAGCCTCAGGGCCTCGCCCCACACCCTCTTCTCCTCGGCCTCTATCTTTTTCAGCTCGCGCTCCTCTTCTTCCCGGCCGCCTTCCTTGAACTTGTAGTCCCTGGGCACCCATTTCCTCTCGCGCACCTTGTGGAGGAAGTCCGCAGAGTGTTTCTTGAACGTCGTCACCGCGTACAGGCTGTACTCGTCGTCCTGGGCGACGAAGGCCGCCGAGCGGGGCACCACCATCGGGCTTAGCGTTTCGTAACTGCGCATGAATTCCTTGACGTTCCCGTTAGGCACGGCCACGAGGTGCGTCTCCAGGTGTTCCGAGTTTTGGTGCTGCACCAGGATCGCCGGCTGCACGACGGAGAGGAGCAATTTGGTGGATAGATTCCCCTGCTGTCGGCGGGTCAGGGTCTGGAGCTGCGTGCGCAGCGAGTTGTACTGGTTGTATTTGGACCGGACGTCGTTGTCTATTGAGTTGGCTTCCTGCGGCGGCGAGTCAGTTGGTCTTCAACAGCAACAGCATCCCACACCTTGCCAAGGGTCCATATACAGCGACAAGGCGGAGCAGCATACCTTTTGTAGCAGATCAATCAGCTCGGCTAGGGGTCGATCGGCGCGGTATTTGACCTTGTTCCACGAGAAGCTGCGGAGGTACTGTTCGAGCGGTTCTACCACCCGCCCGGGTCAGCATGGCGGCCTCCTTCCTGCTCGTAGTGGCGAGACCTACTATCATTGACCGTCTTGTGCATGGCAATCTTTTCCTCATCCCCGTCCAACACATTCCTCAGCGTGTCCCCCACCTTGCTCACCACGCTGGCACATACGCCGCCCAGCTTGGCCAGCTCGTCCGACTGCTGTAGTAACGCATCTAGGGTGCCAATCTTGAACTCGGGCACGGCAAGTGGCAGCACGGTGCCGTTGGAGGGGTTCGCGGCCTTCTGGACCGCGGCGACGGCGTCATCCTTGTGGCCCGAGGGGGTTATGCTCGAGGGGACCGACACGAAGAGGTACTTTGTGGACATTGTGGGAGTGGAGGCGGAGGCGGCGGCTCAATGGGAGAGATTGTTGAAGCAGGCGCGAGAGCATAGACAAGAACCCTCGATCTAGCGGTACCCAACACAGGAATGTACGTATGTACAAGTTGTACAGTAGGTGTCGAGACACCTGCCAGCGCTCCGGGTAAACAATTTGGTGGGCGATGGAGATGGAAGCTGGAGCTCTCGCCGTGGTGCTGCGTCATTCGGGTTCGGTGGAGCCTGATTAATCGACACCCTCCTCGCGCTGGGCGCTCTCTTCCAATTCCATCTCAGACCCCTCCACGAAAACTATGTCTCGCCCTCGGAATCCCCAGATAGATGTCATATTCGCAAGGAATCATTGGACACACCAAGGCAAAAAGGCGTTTGGGGAGCCCGATGTGAGCCTCTGGGTCAGCCCTTAACCCACTCGAGTACACCGTAAGTCTCAAACTAGATCGTGCGAGGAAGACAACACATTTGTGGGCTGGAGATAAGTCTCTTAAATTGCTATGTAGTGTTGTTGCATTTCGCCGAGCTCGTTCAACCGTGCAATTAGGAACAAACCCGTAAACTCCTCCTACGTACATCCCGACATTTTTCTGCAAGGGATATCATGTTATATCATTTTAATGCAAACCAGACACCCTTCACAGGCGAGCCTTGGCTTGAGTTGAGTCAAGGGCAACATCAAATCGGTCCAAGTCCATCACCTTGGTCCAGGCAGCGGCAAAGTCCTTCTTGAACTTCTCCTCATTGCCAGCTTCGGCGTACACCTCGGCAACGGCGCGCAGCTCGGCGTGAGCTCCGAGCACGAGGTCGTGACGAGTAGCGGTCCACTTCTTTTGGCCAGACTTGCGGTCCGTACCCTCGTAAAGCTCCTGGTCACTGCTGGTTGCTTTCCAGGCAATGCCCATGTCGAGGAGATTGGTGAAGAAGTCGGGAGTCAGCTTGCCAGGAGTCGTGGTGAAGACACCGTGGGAAGAGCCATCCCAGTTGGCATTGAGCACGCGGAGACCACCGACCAGCACAACCATCTCAGGTATCGAGAGGTTGAGCTGGTTAGCCTTGTCGAGGAGGAATTGTTCGGTCTTGACACGGGATGTTCCATGGCCGTAGTTGCGGAATCCATCGACAACGGGCTCCAGGTGCTCAAATGACTGAATGTCGGTTTGCTCTTGCGAGGCATCGGTGCGGCCAGGTGTGAAGGTGACGGGGACGCCAGCGGCTTTCTCTACAGCCGCAGTACCGGCTAGCACGATAACGTCCGCAAGCGACACCTTCTTGCCACCACTGGCGGAGCTGTTGAACTCTTCCTGGACCTTCTCCAGGGCTCCCAGAACCTGAGCCAGCTGTTGAGGATTGTTGACTTCCCACTTTTTCTGGGGTTCGAGACGGATGCGAGCACCGTTGGCGCCGCCACGCTTGTCACTGCCACGGAAGGAGGCAGCCGAAGCCCAGGCGGTGGTGATGAGTTCTTGGGATTGAATACCGGTAGCCAAGATCTTTTCCTTCAAAACAGCGACATCTTTGTCGTCGATGACAGGACCGGTCTGCGGAGGGATTGGGTCTTCCCAGATCAACACCTCAGATGGAATTTCAGGACCGAGCCAGCGAGATCGAGGGCCCATGTCACGGTGCAGAAGCTTGAACCAGGCGCGAGAGAAAGCGTCGTGGAGCTCCTCCGGGTGTTCAAGATAGCGCCGCGAGATCTTCTCAAAGGCGGGGTCGAAGCGAAGAGCAAGGTCCGTTGTCAACATCCTAGGCTTGTGCTTCTTGTTGGGGTCGTAGGCATCGGGGATGAACTCGTCGTTCGTCTTGGCAACCCACTGGTTGGCACCGGCAGGGCTCTTTGTGAGCTCCCATTCGTACTTGAACAGGTACTCGAGGTACTTGTTGCTCCATTTGTTGGGCGTTGCGGTCCAGATGACTTCCAAGCCACTGGTGATGGTGTCAGGGCCGTTGCCACGGCCTAGCTTGTTTTGCCAGCCGAGACCTTGTTGCTCGAGAGGAGCGTCTTCGGGTTCCTTGCCGATGTTCTCGGAAGGGCCAGCACCGTGGGTCTTGCCGAAAGCATGGCCACCGGCAATCAGGGCAACGGTCTCCTCATCGTTCATGGCCATACGTCCGAAGGTGGTACGGATATCTCGGCCTGCGGCGACCGGATCGGGGACGCCGTCGGGCCCTTCTGGGTTCACGTAGATCAGACCCATATGAGCAGCTGCTAGCGGCTTCTCGAGATCTCGAGTGTGGATGTCCTTGTAATCTCTCTTGTGCTCGTCAGAGTCGACGACACCCTTGCCTTCGATACCCCTGTGACCTTGTGAGTAGCGGACGTCGTTGCCCAACCACGTAGTCTCGCCACCCCAGTATACAGACTCGTCGGCCTCCCACGTATCAGGACGGCCGCCAGCAAAGCCAAAGGTCTTGACACCCATGGATTCGAGGGCGACGTTACCAGTGAGGAGCATCAGATCGGCCCACGAGATCTTATCGCCGTACTTCTGCTTGATGGGCCAGAGCAGGCGACGTGCCTTGTCCAGACTGACATTGTCGGGCCAGCTGTTGAGAGGGGCGAATCTTTGCTGACCCGCTCCACCGCCACCGCGGCCATCCGAGACACGGTACGTGCCAGCGCTGTGCCAGGCCATCCGGACGAAGAGACCACCATAGTGACCGAAGTCGGCGGGCCACCACTCCTGGGAGTCGGTCATCAACTTGTGGAGGTCTTTTTTGACGCCCTCGTAGTCCAAGCTCTTGAAGGCTGCGGCATAGTCGAAGTCCTTGCCTAGAGGATTTGAGACAGGTTGGTGTTGTCGGAGGATGGTTGTTTGCAAGTCATTTGCCCACCAGTCACGGTTGCGAGTACCACCGCCACCGATGTTGGCCTCCCGCATGGGGCACTGAGCCGGAGCCGAATCTGAAGACATATCTGCGGTTCTTTTCCGATATGACGATGAAAAAGATCGGAGAGGGTGAGGTGAGAGAGAGCAAGAGAAGAGACGACAGACAAGAGGACTACCCCGCGCCTTATAAAGAGCCATGAGGGTCGGGTGAAATGGAAGGGAAGGTTGCCCCTCATAAACATGTCCCCCAAGGCAGGTACATGTTTCTCGCTCTGCATGCCCGCAATCCGCCTAGTGCATCAGCCCCCGCCGGAAATCGGCGTCTAGGCACTGACGGATTTATTGCAATGCTTACAATTGGCTGTGTGCCGCAAAGCATGTGTTGGACCTGTTCCTCTGCCTTGCCACATTTGGCTAGCCTCAGCGAAGGCGGGACCTGCACTTCGGGCAACGCTCAACGAGGATCCTCAAGCGAGTGATTTGGATCCCTCGGTACCGACGGGAAGAACGACACAATAAGCTTTCAACGCAGTGTGATTTGCTTCTCAACGAGACATGAGGATCCCGAGACCCATCAATGTTAGATTGTTCGAGAAACACTCAACTGTAGGCGTCACCGAGCCAACCGACAGCAGCGAACTGAGCCTCGACACGTACTCATTATCCAATACACGACTCCTTGACAAGGCTTGCCACAGAAAACTGGGGCTCACAAACTTTCACGATCATATGTCCTTCTAGCAAGACTTCGAAATGAGAAAGTCAGCAGCGAGGCGGAAGCGGACACGGGGCAAACGGGGCAAGCACTGCAGGCATGTTCTTGACGTGATCTCGACGAATTCTCTCTGATCATACCACTGCAAACCTGCAGACTGCAAATGCCGTCTTGGGTCCGCAAGCGGTGGGGTCGCCCTCTTTCTACCGTGCCACACCCGCGAGTTTGATATTGAACGTGGACGAATAGAAATGGTGCCATAGTAACCGGACATCGGACTGTCCAGTGGACCTTGCGCCAGGTCGCATCAAGTCGCATCAACGTTGCTCATATGTGCCCGATATGGCAACTGAGTACAGAATTCTCGTCCTCTCCCGCTCGACCCGCGAAGAACACTATTAACCTGTGGGCCTTGGGTTGAAGCCTGCTCAGCGTGAGCCCGGAACGGGAACATGCCGGCTAGTAGGTTGCCATCCCGAGTCGTGAGGCTTTGCGACATGAAGCTATTGATTAAGACAGTCCGCAGCGCTTTTCGGCATCATGAGAGCGATAGCGGGGCAAGATGCCCCTGACTCTGGAACCCTCTCGGGCAGCACATAATCGAGAAATACGCACATACTGCATCAATGGCTCGAGCTTTATCTATGCTCAATACAAACAAATGTGCTCTCATCTGGCCCAACGCCTTGTTGATGGAAATACCACAGTACAACATGCCACGCAAAAATCGAGTCTCGTTCGTCCCAGGTGGGTATTTCGCAGTCGACCACCGGACCATATCGGTACACCATTATGTACACCGCCATGCATGGTCTATCGTCTTTGTGAATACCTCTTTCAAAACTCCATTTGAACGCTCATGAAAACGAAGAAGCCTGGGAACAGGCCATGCGACTTGTTATGACGCCACCCGGTAGAGTGACTTCAACACCTGCAACATAGTGTTAGTTGTCGATCCGACTCCAAGAAAATCTCGAGAACGTACCTTGGCATGTCTAGGCTCAACAAACAGAGCACTGGCCTCGACCAGTTTCACGGGCTCCTCGCCCTCGGCAACCTCCAAACTCTCAATCCAGCCCTCAGCCCACGCCTTGCGGCCCTCGACTTTCGTCGTCTTCGCTCGCAGCACCAGAAACTGTCCTGCCATTGTAGGCTTCAGGTAATTGATGTTGAGATTGGCCGTCACGCCGACCTTGTTCGGCATAGCAGGGAAAGCGCATCGTGCAAGGCCCTCGTCAAGCATTGTCGCCAGGAACCCGCCATGCACAATCCCCGGATGGCCCGACACATCGGTGCCGACGTAGAATATCTGGACCATGGATTTTCCGCCCTTCTCGTTGAAATAGTACGGCGGCACCACAATCATGCCGGGGCCGGCCAACGTGCCCGCCGTCAGATTGTGCTGTTTCACTTCATCGGGGATTTTGAGGTGCGGTCTTGACTCGATGAAGTCGGGATTCGATCGTAGTGACCGTGCCAGAGCTGAATTCTTGATATGCTCGTCAACTTCCCGTGCAAACTCATTGTCGGGCGTGTAGAGAGTGAGGGTCTCGGCGTCGGAGGGTATTGACCCCATTATGAGAGGGTGGAGGATCGGGGAGGAGTAGTTGATCGCCAAGTAGGTGCCGACAGCGAAAGAGAGCGTGCTGATGACGAGGAAGCTGATCGTCCGCCGCACTCGTGCTTGTCCCTTGTTGTGTACAACGACTGAGAGGACACGTCAGTCCGCGGTTGAGCCTCACAGCTCGCCAGACTTGACTCACCTGTAGGATAGGGACTCGAACTGACGCTGCTGAGTATTCTCGAAAAACGCGTCGCTTTCCCTATCGCAGGTGATACTCCCGACAGTGAGAAAGATCCAGTGGCAGTGCGAACGGGCCGGTGAGCGATTGTGGACGGCAAAGGTGTAGATGCAAATGAGCAACGAGCGCAATCGGTAACGGTAGCGGTGATCGCTCTCCGTTTCAGAGAAAATCTTGGTCGAGCCCCGAAGAAGAAGACCTTATGTATTGTTGACGGCCTTGATGAAGCCATGATGGCAAAAGGCTTAGATATCCGCCCGCCAGAAGGCCGGCCGGATACGACGTAGCGGAGTGCGAAACTCGGCCTCAACAATGCTTTGATGCGGTATGATCGAATATGGAGCGCAAAAATTATTGGCCTGGGCGTCGATTTTCGGCGTCAATTGGCGGCAGCGATTGGCCCAGGCGCGTGCCTCGGCTCACAGCCTCACGGGCCAGCCTCGGGGCCTAAGAACGCCCGGAAACCTCCATCACCACCGTTACTCACCCCCTGGAAGAACGTTCAAAGAGAGCCAAAGTGTGCTCAATGCTGCGCTATTGCTTCTCAGCATGTCCTATTACTGTTTACCGCCAAGTGAATACACAACGACCAGTGCTTGTGTGGAGGTACATGATTTACTCCTGCCTTGATATTGTATGCTCTCTCCGCGCTTGGCTGCTAGGAAGCTCCCGTACCTCGTATCCCGTATTTCCCTTGTCGAGCCTGATGCCATTTTCAGTCGCCTGGTTGAAGTTGCAGCCCATCTTGACGGCGGTCTGGTCGACCCGCATCGCGTACTCCGTACTGTGAAATGTAACCCTCACTTGCGAAAAGCCCTTAACCCCCTCGGTTTCAAGCACCAATTACCTTATTGATGCTGCATGATTAGAGCGACGGTGTGGCACTCAGCTAGGAGATCCGTTCACAGTAAGGAGCGGCTTCCGACTTGGCGAGCTGGGCAGCTGCTGGCGGCGTTAATGACGTTGGCGCCGAAGCTGTCTGGAAACAATGTAAATACGGACAGCCACCACCACGAGGACAGTGGCATGATCCTGATGTTCGAATATCGCTGAAGCAAGCCATGGGTGTATCATTGCGCTCAAACAGTGGAAGAAGGACTTCGTGAATGTGAACCTTTTGATCGAGTTGAAGGACTGTGCGGTGGCGCATGATCGAAGTGAGGCGCGAGTTCTGGGTCCTGGCTGGGAGGAACCCCAGATTTCGGGGCTGTTCGTGCAAACACAGGGTCTTCTGCGGGCGTGGCAGGATGGATCTCCATTCCAGGTGTTCCTTCGACACCGGAGTGCGATCGAGACCGCGTGAACCGTACGGTTTCCTGTTCTTCAGGCCGTCGTTCAATTGGTGACCATCCTCCAGCGACGCTGCCTGCAATGATGCCTGCCATGGCTGTAGCGGGACCGAAGACCGAATTCGAGCTTGCTCTAGCCCGCCGCTTGGATTTCTCCGGAGTCGATGGTGATGCTGTCAACGTATCCACCACAGCTTGTTCGCCATCTGGGGTCTGCGGCAATTCGCTATTCGAGCGGGACCGGGACGGGCTGCGAGATCGTGGTAGAAATGCGTCTTTTGGGTGCTGCAGCTTGTACGTCAGCTCTGAGATGCGTCCGCCTCGGATCCTCTTCAAGAATTGCAGCTCTTCTCGAATGTCTTCCAGTGCTGGATTCCAGTGCACTTTCTCGTTCTCGTCATCTTCGAGCACAAATTCCGGTCCACGCTTCTTTCTCCTAGGCATAGGTGGAATCAACCTTGCAAACAATTCGTCGGGTATCAATCGTATTATGACTGCCACAGGCACCGAGAGCGCGCCCAACACAAGCGAATATCCCCACTGCGGCCCATTGATGCGGTTAATGGAGAAGGCCTGTCCTCCAACAAACATTATCAAGATTTGTCCTCCGACGATGAGGAACTGGATTCCGACGAACCAGTAGTTGCGCAAGACACCCTCGAAGATGTTGAATTTATTGTCCAGCCGGCGGGAATTGTATTGGTTGAAAATCTGCATCCACACAAACGTGTTGAAGATCGTGCTGTGAAGCCGGTCCTGCTCGCCTGGAGTTTGGTAAGACAGAATGCTATTGCCGGCAAAGTACAGTACGAGCGTCACCACGAGCTGATATATTGACTGTCCGATAATCATCTTCCACATCGTCAGTGTGATCAGCGGGGCCGATTTCGGTTCCGGACGTCGTTTCAGTATGGACGCTGAAGGGGGATCGGTGGCGAGTGCTAGAGCGGCAAAAGTGTCCATGATCAAGTTGACCCATAGAAGTTGTACAGCAGTCAACACAGAGTTTTCCTCATCGTTGGCAACGGCGGAGATGAATGTTAGGAAAACTGCAGTGATGTTGACAGTAATTTGGAACTGCACCTCGAGTTAGACTTGACAAAAAGTCAGACGTGGTCACAGAGCTTACCTGTAAGAACTTCTTCACAGCATCATTGACAGTCCTGCCCCAGGAGATAGCTTTGACAATCGAGGCAAAGTTGTCGTCCATGAGAATGATGGCCGATGCTTCTTTGGCAACCTCTGTACCTGCAATACCCATCGAGAAGCCGACGTCTGCTGTTTTGAGGGCTGGGGCGTCATTTGTACCATCACCTGTAACGGCAACAGTTTCTCCGAGCTTCTTGAGGTGGCCTACGAGCAGCTTCTTGTCGTCTGGACTGGATCGGGCAAGCACCTGTAGGCGTGGAATCACCTGCGTCAGCTGTTTCGAACTCAATTTCCGGAAGACCGGGCCTTCCATAGCAATTCCGCCAGAGGTGAAGATACCACACTCGGTAGCAATGGCCTTTGCCGTCATAATGTTGTCTCCGGTGACCATGCGTACAAAAACGCCAGCCATTTGACAGTCCCGAACTGCTTTCTCGACACCTGGACGCAGCGGATCCTGGATGCCCACCACACCAAGGAAAATCATATCCTTAAAGACCTTGTCGAAGTCCGCCTGTCGCTTATCCTCTGGGAGAGCTGCTCCCCGGGGTGGCCATTCGCTGAAATCTCGGTAGAGTAAGGCAATGGTACGCAGAGAGCGAGACGCGTAATTGCTCACAATGCCGTTCAGAGTCTCCACTTGGTCCGACGATATGGGGGCGTCTACCAGCTCCTTCGTTGGGTCGCTAATAATTCTGGAGCATTTCGAGATCAGGATTTCGGAGGCTCCCTTGACGAGCATGCGGTATTTGCCATTAGCCAGCTTGATAACCACAGCCATACACTTGCGGCCCGAGTCGAAAGGAACCATTTGCGCAATGTCAGCATTGGCTCGCTCTTCCCCAATCGATTCAACCGGGAGATGATCAACAACAAATTGAAGGAGAGCGGTCTCGGTCTTGGAGCCGACGAAGACAGGTTTGCCATCTTCTTCCCCTTCGAACGCAGTGGAGTTGAGAATGATTGAATCCTTGAGGAGTGACTTGGTGTCTTGGGAGAGCGTTGTATAGAATTCGGCAGCCGAGACATCATTGGTGACTTCAGTAGGGCCGGAGAGTTTGGCGTCTGAAGCAGCCGTCGAGTTGATCGGCTGCTGCTTGTCGCCGAATCTAGAAGCGGTAGACAGCGTCCCTGCCACGACTGTCATTTTGTTCTGCGTCAGTGTCCCAGTTTTGTCAGAGCAGACAGTCGTTGCATTCCCCATTGTTTCGCAAGCGCGCAGCAGGCGCACGAGATTGTTGTCCTTCAGCATCCTTGTGGTGGCAAAAGCAAGGGCTAGCGTGACAGCCAGCGGCAGACCTTCAGGGACCGCAACCACGATGATAGTGACCGCAACGATGAAGATTTGAAGAAAGCGTTGACCTTTGACTTGCGCGCCTCCTTCTATGTTCTTAAGCTCGGCCAAGAATTTGATGAAGAGGACCACAAACAAAAGTAGACCAGCAGCCAATCCAAGTTTTGCAATATACTCAGCAAGCACGTTCAGCTTCATCTGCAGTGGAGTCGTCTGACCCTCATCCTGTAGCGACATCAAAGTCTTGCCGTAGCTGGAATTGACACCAGTCGCAGTGACAAGGAAGGTGCCGACACCCTCAGAGACCTTCCCGCCAGACAGAATGAATGGATCCATTTTCTTCAGGCTCTGATGGTTCTCAATGGCGTGATAAACCTCGTCGGCAGCTGTTTTCCGAATGATGTCAGACTCCCCAGTGGCAGAAGACTCATCACATCGCACGTTGTGGCCGTCGATAAAGACCCCATCCACAGGAATCAAATCCCCGGGCTCGAGATGCATCACATCTCCAACCAAAACATCATAGACCGAAATCTCCTGAGACTTGCCCGAGCGGACGACCTTGACAAAGCGTTCTTCCTTCTTACGGTTCAACTTGACGAACTGACGCTCCTTCTGGTAGTCATTGAGCGCTCCCACAAAAGTCACCACAAAAATGGCAACCATGATAGCGACACCCTCGACCCACTGGACCTTCGCTTCATGCTCTTCAGAAGGCGCAGGATTGACGGTCTGATATATTCCAAGCGCGAGCGAGATAACAGCAGCCACGGACAGCAATATCAGCACTTTGTCGTTATAAGCGATCCATGCAAGTTGCCAGAAAGTTTTTGCCTTCTTCTCGGGGAGACGATTGTCCTTGAAGACGCGCTTGCGGTCGGCGAACGAGTTGTCCGAAGTCTTCGCAGGTGCAGTCAATGACATGCCGGTGGTAGTCCGCTTGACAGTCCCATAGTGTTGCACGGCTTCGGCGCCAGCCTGGACCGCTTCTCGAAAATCCACTGAGCCTTCCAGGCCAACTTCGTCGACGCTCAAGCCGCTGTGTCGATTTGTCCGTAAGCCTTTCTCGAGGCCCCCAAGACCGCCAAGGGCGTGGAAAGCGGCCAGATTCTTGGGGTTGATCATCTTATTCAGTTGACCAGGGCTAAACGCGAAGGGGTTGTTCTCAACCTTGAAATCCTCCTCTGTGCCTGGGTCCGGCGTCAGTGCGTCCGTATCATTGATCACATCGTCATTGTTATTGAAGGAGCTTTTCCGAGCATCCTCTGCAGGTGAAAGTGTAGAGGCTATCTGCGTCTCGCCTCCAAATTCCGACGTGGATGCTGAATTCTGGGACTCCATCGATGTGGCCCGTTGCCTTGACCCGGGAACGGCAAGGAAGTTTTGAGAGGCGCCATCAAGGAACTGGCCTCTGGGAGAGGACACATTGTGTGGAGAGGTCGGGCGCGACTCGCGGTTGGTGGCGTCGGAGGATGAGCGCACGTCCGTTGGCGATATGGAGAAAGGAGAGGACAATGAAGGACTCGAGTCAAGACCTGATGTTTGAATCCGAGGTAACGGTGCAGGCTTGTCGGAAACAGCGCTGGGAGGTTCTTCGGGAGGTGGAGGCGAATTAACGGCGGAATCGTCTATACTAATCGTGGGCGCGCGAGGTCTCTGTTGGGTTCCTTTTGGCGACTCCGCGTCTGCACCGTCTGTCCCGCCGTGTGCCGGCGAAGACATGGCTAGACCTGGCTGTGCTGGCCCGTCTTCTTCAGCCGATCTTGCGTATGACGAGTTTCCAAAGCGTAGAGTCAAGACGTATCATGAGAGGTCCGATGAGGAAATGGTCGGCCGGCAGCAGAAGTGGATGGTGGAATTAAGTTTGCTGCTGTTGTTATCCCAACAAACTGGTACAAGGACGCTGTCAGAAGTGCTTCGTAGTCAGACAAACGCGTTGTGACTGAGGCATACACACAGATATCCGTTGGCAGGTGAGGACCGCTCCAGTGATTATTTACTTCAGGCCGCCAATACTCCCGGTAGCGAGTCTGGTCGTGCAAGAAGTGCCGAGCCCGTGTCTTGAAAGGAAGCAATCTCGTGCGTTGGGTCCGCTCCAAAGCGCATCTGCAATAATGTACAACAAAGGGATGACTTCGGGATCGGATTCCGCCTCGCAATTAGAATAGGTAGGGTCGAACAAGCAAGAGAAGAATGGCTAACGGTGAAGCTAGAAGAGGTATGTACAAAGGAGAGGGAGCGAGGCACACTGCAGGGCCATTTGCTCGTGGAGAGAGGTCAAGACTACCAGATGGTGCAGGTGGAAGAATACATGGAGTGCAGTGAATGAGTGCTTTCGAGAGTCGCGCATGAATCTGGAAGCTAGGCCCGCTTACAGGCCCCCGCCAGCTAAACCCAAGCCTAAATCTCCTTTAAAATGCGGGCTCTCTCGGCGGCTAGGCTCTTTGCAGTTAAAATGCTGGCGCTCCGACGCCTATGACTGGCCGGGAGTTGCTGCCTCACTGCCATCGGACTCTTCCATGGCCGATCTGATGTACACTGGACATGACAATATCCGTCGGGCACCTGGACATCTCTGGCTTCGAGCCACTGTACTCCGTACACCACAGCAACTGCGCGGCATGCCGTCCATCACAGTAGCCTGGCGGCAAAGCATCTGAGATCCAGCAGAGAAGAACCTCGCATCTACACAGTACGGGCGTCCCTGCTCTCATCAGCGCGCCTCTGCTGCCAGAACAGCGCGGCTCCTCCAATCCCTGGCTCGAAACGATGGTCACCTTTGCACTGCCACGGTGCTAAAGAGTCTCCATCGGGTGTCAGGCAGCCTTTGCCTTGTCACCTAACAGTCTGGGCCTGCGGCTTCCGGGACGAGATGAGTGATTCCGTTCCATCCAAGGCTATGCTAGCTGACACCTCCACCCTCATACGAGTACCAGGTCCGTCTTTATTTGCGCCAGCGTCTTACGCGACACCCCAGTAGAAGTCCCAAGACTCCGATCGCAGTCCGCCCACTTAGCCGGAGATGATCTATCACGGCTTCTCTCTTCGGTGCGCTTTCGCAACGTCGAGCGGTGGCTAAGGTCGTAGTGGCAAACTCGACGAAACAAGATCAACGGAGAGGTGCATGCCCAGGCCTAAGTCAACGCTTGGTCTTGCTTCGACCGCCCACACGTGGTTCTTGTCGTGGAAGACACTTGCTTCTCCTACTCCGTACATTGGCAGACACCTGTCTTCTCAAACCACGATCAACGCCCAGGAGGTGCCACTGCTCTGGGCGCTGAGCAACAAACCTAAAATGCCCAAGTCGTAGCTTTCTCGCTTTCAGCAACGCCATGCATCCATGACTCGATGGCAAACCCGCCAGCTCAGGAGATTCGTGTCATGTGTCTGACTGTGTCCATCCTATGAGCTCACGACATGTGGCGAGTCAGGCACCTACGAGGGAACGATGGCTATCTCGATCCAGGTGACTGGCTTAACGCCCTCCAGCTTAATCCGAAAACACATGGCTCTCTCAGCTAGATGGCTGCGATGTTTTCATACATCATTTCGCCCATCCGGTCGAGTGCACTGACTACAACAAGCATTCCCACTCATCAATACCGTCAATCATACTTGGCCATCAGCCCTCCTGGAGCGCCGTTCTTCTCGATAACCTCCTCGAAGCCCTCGATACGGGATACCATGGCGTATGGTTTGAGTCTCTTCTCCTTTTCGACTGTCCCTTTGAAGCAGCCACTCCATCCTGGCCGAGGATATTCCCGCACCACATTCTCAATAGTCTTAGGGTGCACCAACTCCTTCACAGCACCGATGTTGTCCAAGAGAGTACCCCAGTGAATCAGACGGGTGACGAGGGTGACCTTGCCCTTGTCCTGAACATCCTGGTGTCTTAGGATGGCTTCCACCACACTCTCGGCCTGTTCCCGTGGTGCGATACCCTCGCCTCCCGTCACCCACGGATTCTGCAGAAGATCAAACGCATGAAGACCAGCGAAGAACTCGTAACTGAGATGGGTCCTCCCAATGAACTCATCACAGGTGCCAATGTCGTGCAGCATGGCGGTCAGGTACCACGTCTCCTCCAGTTTTGAGCCTGGCGTGAGTTCAAAGTCGGGAAAACATTGCCTAGCGATTGCTAAGCCCCAGGTGTACACCCGCAAGCTGTGGCGGTAAGTGTCATCGTCAAGCTTGGACTTCACGTAGGTGGTTACGCGGTCGGTGAGCGGTGTCTTGGGAGGCTGCAGCGATGAGATGTCCATGGGCTGAGGACTGGTCGTTTTTGGCTTGTCTTGCGACTGATCGGCTGGTAACGCCGTCAAGCCGTAAGTCTTTGCGCTATCAGCCATCTAGTCCACGGGGAGATTCGAATCGGGCAGTCAGGAGCTGTTAGTGTTGTTTCGATATTTGCTCCAAGTTGGGATGACACGGCAGTGCTGTAGAATACCTGATGGGGCCAGGCGTGTACTTGTTGGCAGGTACCCAAGATAGAGATTGCGGACTTTGCTTCGCCTTTAAAGAGCTCCGTATCAACAAGCGCACAGATTAAATCTTATACTTTCACATAGCACCGCAATATCCGTCGACACCGTCGACACTGGCGAGACTGGCTGTTGTTTACCCTCTGGATTACATCATGGCCCCAATCGCCTCGTCAAAGGCAGGGCTGGGATCAGTCGCATTACTAACTCCCTCTCCCAGAATCCGCCCGCCTTGTAGTTGACTTGCTTGAACTCTGCGCCGTCGCCGCACCAAATTACTTCTTCCAGCCAACAACACCGACACGAGAGACCGGAACCTTTTCCGCTCATACTCAGAGAGCCCAATGTCTGGAGAGGCTCAAGAAAAGACTGAGAAGATGGGAATCGAAGGCGCAGCTCATGGTGAAGCCGCCGTGTCTCATTAGATAAGAGCACTTCCTCATTTGCTCTGAGCCTAGTAAGCACATGACACACTTTGCATGAAAGTGTTGGATGTAATCGAGAACAGAGGGAGGTTAATCACATCTGTTGGTCGCCGTGTTCACCTGTTGCTGGGGGCTTCGCGTATTCCCGTCGCTTCGCTTTCACACAAACCTCATTCGGTCCTCGTTCGAGGCAGACTGTTGCCTCACCTCGGCCACAGTTTTAATATTTCGGTTGACTAGCTGATCTCCTCCTTGAGCGAAGACTTCAGATGAACTACGTGGTGCTTTCCATCAGGACCGATCATTAACCCGTCGAGCTACAGCTGTGCTCGTTCATGGCCACTTCGACAGCTCCTATGGCAGTGCTTCCTGGAACGTTTTCATTCCACTCAATGCGTCATATTGCGCGTTTGTGTAACCTGGCCTGGCCGTCTCTATGGTGATGCGTTGTTACCCCTCTTTGTGTCTACCATTTCAAGACGCTCTTCGTGGCTGCTACAACTCTTTCCTTCCTTCACAATCTCAATACTCGCCTCCTTCAGCTTCTACTTGCTTTGATAACCAGCTGCATTAACTCAACTGACGAAACTACTGCCAACAATGGCAAGAGTCTTAGAGGAAGTGACGGAATGCGAGAGTATCATCGGTTATGAATTCAGGGAGAAACGCCACGCCATCAGAGCGCTCTTTGCCTACACTGGCGCTTGCCAGTACATGGATTCTATCTTCGGCGTCAAAAAGAACGACGGGCTGGCAATCTACGGCGATATCGTTATCCAAGACCACCTATGCAGGCAATGGCTCGACCTAGGCCTTACCAAGGGCATGTGTCCCCATGAGAAGCAGTCTGTCTCCGTCGAGTGCTGACAACGCGTCACAGGGGAATGGACCCAAATCCGTCAGGTGGCGAGCAATACCAACCTGGCCTCCATTGGCAGGGCTAGAGGACTGGACGCTTGCGTCGTCCTCAATCCAGGAACGGTGAATGTGACTGATAGCGTCATGGCTACCACTGTGGAAGCCATCATCGGCGCAGTGGCCTTGGATGGCGGCAGGGCGGCGGCCGAACAGGTCATCGATCGACTGAATGTGACGCATGAGCTGCTTACAGCGGTAAAGTCGACTACTCTCCTACCATCCCGACCTTGAGCACGAGGTGCACAATACTGCTTACGTGAAATATAGGTACCGCCTGCCACAGAGGTGACGGTGAGCTTCGACGCAGAGCAACCAGGAAGCTCTGGCGCGCCGCCGGCGCCCACGGGGTGCCTTGTGCGGTGTATATACCTATGCTTCCTACACCAGTGTAGCTTGATTACGCCGCACAAGACGCCTTGCCGGCTCCGGCCGCGCGCTGGAGAATCCCGGTTGCTCTGCGCCAGAGCTCTCACTCATTTCTGTCGCGGATGGACCTAGCCTGCTTGTGGCGAGATGCTCCCTGACCGGTCTTGACGTACGACCCCGAGAGTGTTGCAGTGAGGTGTAGCATTGCAACAACCCTCGGGATCGGGCCTTCAGGCCGGGACGCGGACTCTCGTCCTTGTACGCTTGGTCACACTCAGGAACCCAGATCCGGTCCACACCTTCTAACGCTTGTCTCCCATACAGAGCAACCAGCCAGGCGATGGCGCAGCATGAACCCAGATGGTCAGCGACAACTACTTCCAACAGAGCAAGAACGCAAGAGCGGCTCACGACGTAGCAGACTGGCGGGAGTGACGGAATGGGTTGTTGACGTTGATAATCTTGTTTCGTATCAAGCTGTTTTTAACAGCTCCGATTGACCGCAGTACACTCATTCAGCGTTTTGGACAAGGCTGTCGACGAGGAGGACAGGGGAAGAGAGGCCAGCGACGGGATCATGTAGCCGAATGCAGACCCTTTACCGATGGTCTTCCATGCTCATGAGTGTAGGTATGTCGAAGGACCGGACAACCAGCTTGAAGTGCACTAGCTTGACAAGAAGTCCCTGTCGGAGAGCACCTGCGTCTCCCGAAAGGAATAACCACTCCGCATATACATAGATTGTCAAAGCGACCGGTAACCAGCGATCGGCAACGAGTAAGCAGTCCTCAGCAACCCGTGGGTGAGTAGGCTACAGTACGAGAAATTCATCAAAGACCCGGACACCCCCCACAGTCACCACTTGCTGCACCATGGTCTCGAGCACTCGAGCCTACGAGGTCCCCAGATCAATCCTCCCCCCTGATCACCCGCCTTCTCACAATCGCATTTTCCACGCTTGTTTCCAGCCGCCACAACAGGCCGGTGTGTACTCCGTCTACAAGGCGGTGCACTTCCCCTCCTGCTCGCAACACGACCAGATGAACCCGTCCGCATAGTCTGGGTCGTCGATATGACCCTCCATGGAGCCAAATCGGGCGTCCGCGTAGTCGTCTCAGAATTCAGACTCGTCATTGACTTCCTTTTCGCCTGTGGGCCACAGTAGGTAAGTATTGGCATAAATTATTCAGCCAAACAATAAGTCAACGCTCAGACAGTCAACACTCAGACAGTCAACACTCAGACAGTCAACACTCAGACAGTCAACACTCAGACAGTCAACACTCAGACAGTCAA